GGTTGGCGCTGGTTTTATGTCCGTCATATTTGTTTCGTAAATTGTTTTGTTCTAATTAGGCCTTTAGTGTTCTCAATTGAATTGTTTCATATTGTTTATATCGGGGCTTTTTATAGCCGACTATACGATATGGAATGTTCTCATTGTTGAAGGCCGTACGATTGGCTGTCATTGCTTACATCCACGTTATTGAACTTTGGTGGATAGTTGTCTCATTAACTATCATACCACATCTCCATATTTTTATAATAAATATATATATTATGTCTAAACAATAACAGTTGGATACGAGTGCATTTTAATAAACAGCAATATTAATCAAGATTAAAATATATTTAAGTCCGATTTTTGCGTAATTTACGTGCGTACAGTGTCAGGGTAACACATTTCAAATGACTTTTTTCCCTATTTTCTGATTGTCTCGATATCTGCAAAAGGGATTTTTTTAGAATGTTAATAATAACTCTAGCAAAAAATCGCAGCTTTTTTATTTTTATATGTAACATTTTTTCTACAACTAAATTCTATCAGCGTACATGAAGATCATGTCCATCCTGTTACCGCTACTTAAATAAAACGTTAAACTGTTCTCTCTATGAATATTGATATAGTCCGTGTTGATTTCAAAAGCGCAAAGTAACCTTTACATTAAACACAGCACGTTGCTTGTATAACAGTGTAGGGAGAAAAATTTCAAGACATTTAGTGAAAAAAAAATAATGGGTACTTTTTTGTCATGTCTATGCCGTTACCAACATATTTATTAATCACGCCAGTATTATACTTGTAAAAAGTGCAACAACGTGTTGGAAACCAAAATCACAACAGAAAAACATCTTCACTTCACAAAAGGGAGTAGTTATTTCACAACAACATTCAAAAATGATGAAATTTGTCTATCTTGTTATGTCTATCCTGTTACTATGGTTGCTATGGTAACAGTAACAGGATAGACAATAGTAGACAGAAACATCGTTAAAAAGTTTATAATTACATATAGTTGTACACATATTGAAATGTTTCGTTTTTTGAATTCATCTAAAGGTTATAAAGTCTTAATCTTCGCAATTTCGCATTTGCAGATGCATTACTGCTATCAGTAACAGGATAGACAAAACTGTAACAGGGTAGAACTTAATATAATGATATATCATAAACGTGCGTTCCTGTTACCAATAAAATAAAGACAAAAGTAAACCAACACGCAAGGGAATTACTTGATGTTGGGTTTATTAGAAAGAGAGAAAAACTGCCGAACATTATTAATTGCTATCTTAGACTTGCATTACTGATGGTTATTTTTATAACCTTTGAAAACCATATTTTAGAGGCATTTTTCAGTACAGCATGAAAAATTGAAAAAATAATCCATTGCATCACAGAATGAATATATATAGAAGTTTTTACTCTTGAAAACCATCTTATTGGCTACGACAAACAAGCTTACAACTTTACTAAACCTCTTTTAAATAACCCATATCCGCGCCAGCTTATTTATTGACTGATAAAACAACCAGCAAATATAATTCTTGATGATTTTTCAATGACTAAGAACTTATAATTATATCCCCTTATGTTTTTTATAATTAATTACTGAAAGCAGGCAATTGATAATATACAGTTTCTTACCTTGTCCACCTTAATCTCGAACAATATATTACATTATTGAATTTCCTCAATTTAAGTCTAAAGACTTGAGTGTTTTATTGCATGTACTGTTCATATCTGCTGGTGAGATGAAATTCACCTTTTAGTTTTCACTGTGATGATTTGTTGGGCTATGTTTTGTTTTTGTGAGTGTATTCTTGTTGGTGTGTGTCCTTAAGTATAATTCGTGTTAATTTCTTAAAAGTAGCAAATACTTACTTGAAATATACATTTTTAATTTGCAGGTGGTCTTGATATTATAGCATCGAGGACGACGTATTCAGCAATAGTTGGAGATTCTATTGTTACCATACTGTGTAAAATAAACGGCACACCACCGGCTATTGCATGGGACTGGACAAAAACGTCAATTATAGGAGGCAATTCTGAAATAATATCTCAAGGGACAAATAATGCACGAAGACAAGTTATCAATTCTGCAACCAGACCAAATTTAAATATATATAGCATTACAGAAGACGATGAAGGTATCTATAGATGCAGAGCTAATAATGGGGAGCGACAGTATATAAGTGAACCTATAATACTGAATGTGCAAGAAGGTAATATGTTCGTACTTTCCTTTCAAATTTTCACATTCAGTCATCAATTAGAGTTAACAAATTTGCATGTACCTAAGATCACACACTTGGTAGCGCCTAATGGTAAACAAAAGACCTAATAAATTTCTTCATGTATTAATCATGCTCTTGTTTTAAGGTATGGAATTTGCCCCTACAAAAGGTTTGTAAAATTGAAATCTCAAATGTTTTATTTCAAATAGACATGAAGTATTTTTCAATGCCTTTTTACCGGTTATGACTTACTAGACGTATTAGTGTGTAATAAGGCCGGACGTTGACATGCATATATGTAGGTGTTTACAATATTGTCAATTGATCTATGGTAGATAGTTGTCCCCGTGGCAAACTTTCCATGCCTCCTGATTGTTATAATTATCAATAGCAAGACGACTTGTTGAGGAAGAAATAATTTCCATTCTGACCTTTTTACTAGAAATGTCTTTTTCCATTTATTCTTTTATCTTAGTATTAACCATTGTTGTTTCTGATACTTTTGTCTTGGTTAACGATTTTTTTTTATCTTCATGGACGTTTTGTTGCTGTATTTTCAACTTCGTATTCCTTAGCTATTGCATGTCTATGTACCTTGGGCATTCAAAGTAGATCAATTTATTTGTTAAACAAATTGAAGGATCAAAGTAGTAATTGCCTATACATTTTCAGGACATGATGCAACAAATGATTCATTACTATTGTAACATTCGTTTTTATAATTGATAAGACTTTTTTGTCCCGTGAAAGCAGTTAGTTCCATGATTAGTTATTGGGTCACAAATTCATGTTTCAAAAATTCATGTTGACCCAATGACTTTGATTTGTTAACAATTTTTAAAACCGTTGTCGGTTTCCGGAAACGTCTAAAAAGTAAAACACAAGAGAATCATAAGCATAAGTCAACAAAAAGACAATAGTTTAAAAACTGAATAATGAGTAGATATGATGATCATTTAATGCGTGTGTTCTACTACTAATCTTTCAGTGCTTTTAACTACTTCCTTAAATTTTATCAAAGAAATCATCTTTAACTTTTGCTATAAAACATACGAAAATAGCGGAATTAACTCTTTTTGGTGTGCAAAATATTCTTTTGATGTTTCAGATAAATTTCGTACTTTTGATGGTCATTATGATTCAGTTGACAATTTTGACTTTTCCCTCTATAAAATACAGTGTCACGCAATCTTATCCAATAAAAGATTTCCTATTTGAAAAAGCGTCGTTTGAAAATTTTGAATGCAAATGTTTTTGCTGCAATGAATATTAAGCCTTTTAATCTAATGAGAAAAGTAAATATGCTAGATATACATACTGGATATATGATTAGATAAATACAGCTGTTGACAACATTTATGTACGTCTCGGCAATCAATGTTGTAGGTATTTTTATATGCACCAAATGTACCCCTTTAATAGAAGACTTATTCATGTACTGTAATAAATCACAGTGCATGGCCAAACTCCTTAAAAAACCTTTCTAAATTCTATATAATTGATAAATTCAACAACACTTGATGATATTGTTTAGTGAAATAATCAAGAATTCTCTAAATTTACTGTGGGAATTGACTCAAAGGAACATACTTTTAATAAATCAAATATTGACAGCCATAACTGTCATTTCCTTTTGTACTTCTTTGTTACACTTGTTTGTTTTTATAGTGATTAAGATGATAATACAATGTTGACTGCTGTACCCCTATTATTGACATTTTTACCTATTGTGTCTGTTTATTTTGTTCACGCATCGTTGTCAAGATAATGGAATTTGATGCGACTGTCATACACGTGAGAGGTTTAGCTAGCTATTAAACCAGGTTCAATCCACCATTTTCTACCTTAGAAAATGCCTGTACCAAGCCAGGAATATGACAGTTGATATATTCGTTTGATGTGTTTGAGCTTTTGATTTTGCCATTTGATTATGGACTTTCCTTTTTGGGTTTTCCTCGGAGTTCAGTATTTTTGTGATTTTACTTTTTCCTAGATTAAGATATTTACAGGATACTCTACACATTAATTAACGAAAAAGGGGACAATTTTTTTTTCCTTATTTTTAGTTCTCCTTCTTTTGGACGGTGATGTTCCCTTTTGCGTTGTTTTACGGTGCTTATATATATCAACTTGTTCGCTGTATCTGTGTTAGTTGTGACGTTTTGGATTTCAATGAGCGAAATCTATGTATCATTGGTAAATCAGTAGGTCAGGGATTTCGTTACCACAAAGTATGAAACAATGTGTTACTTAAAACCTTTACTAAATTTTTACATAGATACAAAGATTTGGTATGTAAGTTAGGCGGTACCTGTAGAAAAACGTTTTTTAAACGGAATAGCACATCTTATTTTACGGTGATGTTGTTTACGAGCCGAAATAAAGATACGATCTGGGAAAACTTATTAATCTTTAAATAAATTTATTCTGAAAGGTTACCGATTTAACACTGTAACATGTGTAATTGGATCTTTGAATATTGTTTTTATTGGTATAAATATCGATTTTGTTATCTGTAAACCTAAACCATACTAAATATCATTGTTATACATGCACATTCACGGTACTACAATCTGTCGATATATTTTTTTTCGATACCTATTTTTTAGCATTGCACAAGGTCATGTTTTTCTTTGACTGTGAATGACGTCTTTATACTAAATCCATTGGATGTTAGATGTGTACTGATCGATATTGTAGTCTTAGATACATATTTTTTTAGCTGTTATTGGCTTTGAACTGGTTGTCCATGTTAAACTTGAAACTTTACTATTTTAGCATCCTTTAGAAGAGTTCCAGGTGAACCTCAAACAAATAATGCGTTAGATATTGAAGAAGGAATAACAGTAATTCTTACATGCAGTTCTTCTGGAGGAAATCCGTCACCATCAGTTGTTTGGTTGAAGGATAATATTTTAATTAATGCTGGTACTAACTCATCCATATTTGGAAATGTAACAACAACAACATTGACCTTTGTAACGACCGTATATGACGATCTAGAGGTATATGAATGCCAGGTGGATAATGGTTTTCTCCAGAGACCACTTGTGAAATCTACATATCTAGTATTAAACCGTATGTATTGTCATTTCTTTGAAAATTAATTACATCTCTATCTAATGTCTAGACAATTGTCTTATCAACAAATATCGTATGCTAATATACATACATCTTTCGAATTTTTTTGTGACTTTCGGATGCTGTATTAGTAACGTATACCCGTATTTTACTTAATGAATACTCATATTTATCCGTCTATCGTTTACTAGTGGTGTATGACGATATTATGAAATATAAAAAACGTTTAATAAATGGTTTAGATATACAAGGAACAAGGTGGTAGAAAATTATGGCTATGTTTATAATGAAAATGTAAAGATAAAAATCAATTCAGAAAAGTGTTTCGGCGCACGAAATGTTGTATTACATGAAGCTGCATACGATATAAAAGCCATCTTGAAATTAGAACGTACCAAAAGTTAGTTCATATTGGTTTCCTGATGATGTTGCTTAGATGTTATTGGCTACATGGGTTAATGAAGTGGACATGTTTACGTAAAGTAAGACAAGGAAGATCCAAATCTAGATTGAATAAATTAATGTTACGAGTAATCTAGGCCTAGTCTATGAATGTTATTGCTATCGGATCTAATTATTATAAAAGATTTCATGTGGTGAACATCTAATTAAGATGTCGAAATTGTACTCTGGTAACTGGAAATATAGAAATGGGTAATGAGTTTCATTTCAAATATATGTATTGTAGGGATTTTCGAATAAAGCAATACATGAATTTAGTGTTTTTTCAACCATCGCCGGACATTTCTATAGATGTTTTTATGTTGATGCTCCTTGTTTACCCTCCTGTATAAGCGCTTATAGTTTAATTTATACTTTTATTATTATATATTTACTTTGCTCAACCTGCATTGTGAACATGATTCGTTTTATTCACATTATTTTTCCATGTCTGATGTTAATTAACATACTACATACTATTCTAAGTAAGATATAAAAGAGAGACGGAAGATACAAAAGGAATATTCAAACTCATCAGTAAGAGACAAACTGCAAACTGACAACGCAACGAAAGTATAAAAAAATGACCAAAAAACTGACAACAGAATATGAAATACAGATTAGAAATCTAAAGAATGAACAACACGAATAACCAGGATTGATCTCAGGTGCACCGAAAGGGTATGCAGATCCTTTTCCACATATGGCTGTCATTGTATTGCTCATGTAAGAACAAACTCTGTGATAAGTTTATTTCGGTGATGTAAATTCGAGGAAAAGAGGACGTGGTTTTAGTTGCGACAATCGAAACATACTTGTGGTCCTCTGTGAAAAGATATTCCATTACCGTCGATTTATTCGTGATGACTTCCGAAAATTTTTCGATGTGATGACTTTAACCTCACAAAATGGAACCTATGGTTTAATAGCTTAATAAGGATTGTGTTTACATATCTCAATTGATACGTTATACTTGTGCATTTTCACACTTTACGAACTTCATATACAGGAGTGTGCTCCTTACGCAGAAACTGCTCCAACAGTTATGAGGAGGAAAGATTGAAAATGACACTCCGGAAATTTTATGGACACCATCACGAATTTATTGATCTATACGATGTATCTGTGTCTAAACTAACTAACGAAATTTTTACCACGTCTTAGATTGTGGTTTACCATGTATGTCGTCTGGTCTGCTAGTACCAAACGTGACCTATTCCTGAATATGACTGTTTTGTCGAGTGTGAATTCGCATCGCTATACGACGTGTCTCGGTATTTATACTATCAACATTCATGTATTTAGTTATGATGTTTCTTTTGTAAGTACGGTTGGATATTGTGTTGTGTCTTATCGTTTGTGGTTTGAATTCTGTATTTTCGGTACATTTCACATATGTCTTATTTGTCAGTATAGTCGAGTTACTTGTGGTTCGTCTACAGTGTTTTTGTTTTATGTTGCTTGTTTTTAAGTGTATTTACTGTTTGGTCTGACATGATCTTGTCTTATATTACAGTTATTTTATTTTTATTTTCTCTATGTATGTAAATGTTATGATAATAAATTAGCTATTTCATTGATATGATTTTAAGTTTAAAGCAACTATATGCACAGGAATTTTTTTTTATACACAGCTTTGATTTAGAAGAAAAACCAACATGGTTAGAAAATACAAATAATAACACCATTACAAACACAATTCCATTTTAATATTCTTTTCATGGTTGTAAAATACATAGAATAACACCATTACAAACTCAATCCCAATTTTATATTCTTGTACGTGTCTATAATTAAACAAATCTATTCTATTTTTAGAAATTTACCTGTGATAATTTTAACATCACAAAAAATACGTCACTTTTTGTGGCGTTATACATTCGTGAGACGCGCATGCGCAGTTGATACTTTGTTTGTGGTCTCCTGGTGTACGGTCGTAAATTCATGGATGGTGTCCGTTGTTATTCTGTGGTTTACATGCTGTAATGTACTATTATATTATTTATTTATGTATTTCTCTATCCCGAGTGCTCTTGCGTTTAATTGTACTGTATTCCTGTCACGTAATGGTGTCATTTTATCGGTATTTTTAACATTGCCATAACAGCGGGAGGTTTGGCTAGCCATAAAACCAGGTTCAACCTACCATTTTTTCTTAAAATGTCCTGTACCAAGTCAGGAATATGGCAGTTATCATCAAATAGCCCGTTTCTATGTATGCTGGCGTTTGTTTTTGTTACAGTTCAGTGTTTCTGTTGTTCCGTTGTTTTCCTCTTATAGTTGATGTGTTTCCCTCGGTTTTAGTTTGTAACTCGGATTTGTTTTCGCTTAATCGATGTTTGACTATTGAACAGCGGTACTGTTGCCATTATTAATAACTTGTTTAATAAGCAACTTTCTGTCAAGGAAATCATGATAGGAAATGCAAACTCTGGAATATAATATAAACTTGGACATAAATTGCTCGATCTGTTTATTTATGCATGTCGCGGTGCTGACCTATGTATATTAGTCCATTATTATTCATCTATTATCAAATAAGAAATTTATTAGGTTTTTTTTTTTTTAAATTAAGATAGTTTGGAGTAAGTACAACACTAAAAACAACATGCAAGTATATAAGGTCAACAACAATGTACTTAATGTTAAATCCTCGGAACACAGTTAATTAAAAAGTTTAACTGCAGATTAAGTCGAGACTATCAGGTTTTCCTGGAACATTTTAACAACCTAATGCATTAGAGAGATTCGAAATATTTTGTCATTAGCGGTATCGCTTGTCTGTCTGATCATTACCTCCCAAATCTAATGAATAATGATTCTTACTTTTACTATTGCATGTTCTATTTTGTTGACAGTCTAGCTTACTTTGGAACTTTCAGAACGTATGACGCTAATCTTTGCTCCACAGTCCTGCAGTTCCCTAGCATATTATGTTTCAATTTGCGTCATATAAATATTAATAATTTTGCAGTAACTAAAACCAAATAAAATTATCCAGATGAACAAATACAACTAATTAATATTCATAAAATTAAAATAACACAATTTTCCATAAAAATTCCCACAAACACAAAAACAAAAGCTGACGACGAAATTGTGATATTGCAACGCGCTCAGTACATGTACCTCTTTAGAAAGGTAAAACTGTTATTTCATTAATATCACATATTCATCATTATTATTGTATTGCAAACCTTTTTTACGCTTTAGCTTCCAACAAACCTCCAGGTCAACCAATAATCACTGGATCACAACGCTATGATTTAGGAGATACGGTAACATTATCGTGCAGTTCTACAGGAGGAAATGCTTTACCTACAGTGCATTGGCGCAGAGATGACAATGTTATAACAACTGGTATAAGTAGATTTTCAAGTAGTGGGGTGACAAGCACAACGCTGACCTTTGTTGCTGGTTTAGAAGACCACCTTGAAGTGTTTGAATGTCAGGCTAATAGCGGCTATTTACAGAACCCTCTTGCGTCGACAACATATATTGAATTGTATTGTAAGTAAAAGGTAATAGTATTCCAGAGGATGTTAACCAAACCGGGTTTTGCGAACATAATACATTGGTTGCAAAATCTGTGATTAGATTTGATCAATACAGCAACATGTGCACTGCATATTCCATTAAAAAACGATTTAATTCGCAAGAATATTTGCCGTAAATGTACTCATAGTCATTTTTAATTTCTTTGTTGCAAAATGTTGGTTTTCGTAATTGAAGTTGTTGTCAATATAACAACAATTTGGTTTTATTCTTTCTTAACAAAGCTTCGTTTCGAAAGATAAGGTTATTAAGACTCGTATTCGTGACTTCCATTTGAACTCCATACACTATCGTGACTAGCACAATTACGGTAATTGATTCTACCGCTAGGAATAGAGACGGGAAGGTGCATTGGTAAACAACGAGAGGAGCGCATTTGTAGATTTTGTAGAGAAAACAGCATTGAAGACGAATCACACTTTGTTCTTGACTATTCGTTTTATACTGAACTTAGAAGTGAACATTTCGAAGATATTATATCAGATGTCAACTACTTGCAAATGAGCAAGTTGTATTTTGACAAGTTTAATTTATTATCTAAAACTTTATTGATAAAAATATATCCTATATTAATCATTATATTTTCTAGTTAGATAAATCGTTTATCGAGACTTTTTATCAACTCCGTGACACAAATCGAATACGAACTTTAATATTTAGGTGACTTGTAGACCCATTGGATCGGGTGTATATAGATATAAGAAGATTTTGTATGAGTGCCAATGAGTCAACTCTCCATCCAAGTCACAATTTGTAAAAGTAAACCATTATAGGTCAAAGTACGGCCTTCAACACGGAGCCTTGGCTCACACCGATTAGCAAGCTATAAAGGGTTCCAAAAATGACTAGTGTAAAACCATTCAAACAGGGAAACCAACGGTCTAATTTATATAAAAAACGAGAAACGAGAAACACTTATGAACCACATCAACAAACGACAACCACTGAACATCAGGTTCCTGACTGAGGACAGATGCAAATAAATGCAGCGGGTTTAAACG